TGGCCTTGGAGGCTACCTGGCTTACCGGAAAATTAACGAGCTGTCAAGGAATATTGGCCTGATCCCGGAGCTCAGAGATGGTTTGCACCGCGCTGTGAAATCACAGACTCACATAATTGTCGAGATGAATCGTAAGCTTGGAACTTTGGCGGAGATTCATTCTTTGGCACAAAAGATGGTGCCATCAAGGAGAGAGTGGATGAATCAGCACAGATTGGGATAGATTAATGTCCATTATTGGGATTTTGAGAGGTTGAGGACCAACAAACTGTAAGACAAAGAGGAAATTATCTCTGTCTGGCCCCAAAACAATTTCTAATCGGAATCTGGCGCCCTTGAGCCTGCAAGGCTCCAACGAAAACTCCCCCCTCAGAAGATATGTGGAATGTGCCATCGCTATGGAAACTCAACTCTGTCTCCTTTCCCAGCTTGGGCGGGACTGCGGGAAGGCCACCGAAGCGTCCAGGGTCACTGCAACCCTCCAACCCTCAATGCTCCTCCCCCATCCACACTGAGGTGACATGCGCTGCTTCATCGTGGCTGCAGGAACTGAAGTTGGGATAGTACCAACCCACCACCCCACCTAGTGGACACTTGTGTTGTCTGAAGTCTGTTGCATATCTGTTTGAGGTGATTTTTTTTTGCTGAGCAAAGCTGCCCTCCTGGTGGGAGGGTAACTCTGAAGTGCCTTTTTTTTCCCCTCCACCTGAACCAATCCTCATGTAACCCTCTTATCTCTATTAAGGTAGCGCGACTCAGGGTTGCGAATGACCACTGTCACCAGTTCTTGTCATGTGTCTTGCCCATGTATGTCTGATCTCTGAATTGTGTGTACTGAAACTCTAATTTCCCTCTGGGATTAATAAAGTATCTTTGATTTGATTGATTGATTTGGTGCCAGTGCTCGGCAGTCTCATCTCTGTCGATGCGCCACAGGGTAGCCGTGGCTACATTGTAGCTCATCATCACGAAAGTGTGTGTGAATGGGTGAAAGGCTGATTGGGTTTTAAAAGGCCTTGGGGGGTTGTAGAACCCTAAGCTAGAGCGAGTAGTGTCTGCCTCAGTCTGTCGTTGAGCGGGGGTGTGAGTGTGTGTGGTTTGGGGTGGGGTGGGGGGATTGGGGGAAGTGGCTGTTGGAAAGGGGCAGGAAGAAGAAATAAGACACAACTCAAAATTAAAAAGAGAAGCAAGATTCAGGCCAACTCTGTTAATAAATAAATAAACAACACCCGAGGTGTGCAGCAATTGCGTTAATCATCCAACTAAGATGCAACAAAGGTTTTACTACAATTTACTACAATTTTTACCCTCTTTTCCCCTAACCTGTTACGCAATATTCACTGAAGATGTTCCATTTATAACAGGGATGCTGCTGCTACGCTCGCTGAAAAACCAGCAAACAGCAGAGAAATTAGGAAATTGGGCATGCTGTTGCTGTTTTCTCTTTTTGGACTCCATGTTATGGCAGCATGGTTTGGTAAAAATACATTTTGATTTCATTTTCATGTCCTCCTTCTGCCTTTTTGAAAGTAGCAGTCATGTCATCCTCCTACAGAAAAATAAAAGAGCTGTCAGATCACAGTAACAAACATTTTTCAAAGGCTGCTTCCAAAGAGAGGAAGCTCACACGAGCTGTGAAGCAGGGGGTGTAAACCAGCAATCGGAGAGCTTCGTTGGCTCGTGTATCTCATTTATCCTGAGGGAAAACAATTATTTAGCATCACATTAAATGTAATCAAGATTCTAATAATTGCAATTATTTTAATATGAACACTTGAATTATGTTTAACCAGGTAATTAATCTGATTAAACTGAGAAATCTACCAAAGCTCAGTAGAGAGTTGGGAATGTCCAAGTTTGAATGGAGACCTGAATCCCTTTGAAATGACAGATTTGAGGCAGGGGATGCTTTAGTTTTTTTCCTGCTTCAACACACCTGGTTTTAATCAGTTGGTGATTTACAGGTGCAATGAATTAAATTACATGTTATTTAATAGGCCAGAAGACGTAGGATTCCATAGGAAATATGAAATCAACCTTATGGATCTGTTGGGTTATTTTAACCAGAAGATTGGAACTTTTTATTGCAGGGATTAGGTAACAGCTTCGTATTCACTCAGAGACAACAGAAGAGAGAGTCAAGTTTAAAAGTTTAAAGATTTATTACTAAACAAATTAAACTAGACTAACTTTAAACACTAAATGTATGGTGTAACTAAGGTGAATGAGACGGAGAATGGTGTGATGTGTAATGTTGCTCAGAACCAGCAAATCTGGAGAAACGATTAGTTCTGATGGGAAATGAAGGTGATGTCTTCGTGCTAAGCTTTGGTTAGGAGATTCGTAAACACATTCGACGCCATTCTGTCGGCCTACATACCCTGGTGGAAGTCCCCGTTAGCTCAGGAATGTCGAGGTCCAGCTGGACCCTTTCTGGAACCGAAGCCGGTAGGAAAAGCAGTGGTTGCCGACCAGACCAGTCTTTGAGATACTTCCAGGTCACGACAGTTTGTTGGCATCTAGCGAGACCCAAACCTGGGTCGTAATGGTTCAGCTTTTATTCTGAAAGGAACCGTTGCAGCAGTTGGAACGGCAACAGATTTTATCCAGCTTGTCGTTGGTTCTTTTGGCTGAAGAGGAAAGTTACGGATTGGCCACTCCGACAACTTCTCTAGAACGCTTTGAACTGGCGTTAAAGATGGCGTGGGCATAGTTTTATACTTCGGATGTTTTGGTTTATGGTCGAATGAAAAGTTGACAAATTTACCAAGCACCACCAAAACTACGCCTCCGTCAGATCTGGCAGATTCTGATTGGATCAGTAAAAGCAATGTGTCATGTCTTAACGCTACGTGAGATCAGTCCTAGTGGAAACATTTAAAGTTATATTACTTATTATATTCCATAGGATTATAATAAAGTAATTAATATTTTGATTTCACAGATTGGTCACATCTTATTATTGACTAACACTTTGTTTGATTAGCTTTATTAAAAATAAAGTTCTTTGATTAATTAAAAGGAGAGAGTCCTTTCTTCATTCTTCTCTTGAGCTGGAAAGAAGCAGTTTAGAAGCAAAGGCATGAGACCTTGAGGCCATATCTCATGCAGACCAGTTCTGTGTCAGAGGAGAGGGGGGGGGGAAATGACTTTTGGAGGAAAACAGTCATTTCATACCGTTACACAGGGTTCTGCAGAGCTTAAGAAGCTGCTGAACAGGTGTTTTCACCACCGAATTGAGTGACGGAGCAGGGAAACAACTAAAATGTCCTGGAAAGCATACCTGACCAGGATTGGGCACCCTGATTCATTAGGACTAAGTTAAACACAATTGTTTGAAAGCAAAATGACAAATTACCAAGTGTTTGACTTTTGCAGGTTTTAAATCATTTAGCCTTTTATTTATTTTTCCACCTTTGTCCTGATTTGATTTTAAGATTTTTTTTAAACCTCTCAATCAGATTCTCAACCTGTAACCAATGAACGGATTAAAATTAATCATTTCTCCAACTGCTGACAAATTTCATATTGATGTGAAAAAAAGAGACAGTGGCCTCATTGTTTTTCCAAAACCAGACAAATAATTTATTGATCCTGTGCTTCATGGGAATGTTGGACTGTAGTCCTGTGAAACACTGAGATGATAAACACGAGGAGAAGCTCTGCTGATGCTTTGGCACAATAAAAACCTGAAAACGTTGACAGTAAATACACCTATACATTCATCTTTATTCATAAGCCTCCACGTTATTATCGCTCTCTTTCTCCCAAGAACACTTGAAATAGAAATGCATTTTCTAAATTGTTGGAGGCAATTTTCTGGCATTAATCTTTAATGATGGCTGTCTTCAGGAGAACAGGAGTCAATTCCAAAGTCTGCAAATCAAGTCCTCACGGTGCAGATGGAGAGCTGACCTGAGCAAAAAAGACTGGAAACACGGCCAGAGACTAAAATAAAAACATTTATGTTGCAAAACTACCCACCAATATCCATCGGACAGCAGGTTATGAACACAAATACGTGGAAATGTAGCAAAGTAATAGTGTGTGTTTATGATATAAACATTTAAATGCTTTAAATGTCACAGTTCGTGTGTGGACTTGAAATGATGATAAAAAGCACAATACTGAGAGCGGACATTTTATTCTAGTGCTGCCTGTAATCAGGAGTTCTGATAGCTCGCTTACTGCAGAGGAAGTTGATGGCTCCGTTAAAGTGGCTCTCAAATGAACATTTACACTTGCAGATGAGGTAAAAATATGCAGCAAATGTGCAAATGAAGTGAGCAGATACCTGCACGACGTAGCAGCTGCGCTTAAAAGGACGACACACGTTAAGGTGGAACCAGCACGCTGGTTTCAGGACGAATACTGTTAGTTGTGTCGGTCCAGCGTCACGCCGGATACGCTCATGCTTGTGCACAACACAGACTTGAATGACTCACACACACACACACACACACACACACACACACACACACACACACACACACACACACACACACACACACACACACACACACACACACACACACACACACACACACACACAGGGTGGGGTGGCGCCTCCCCTCCCAAATGAGTCACCGGTGACGTCGCTCTTCGTGATCAGACCTCGGCTCCTCCTTTTTAACATCCGAGTGGTTTTTTTCCCCTCATCTTGCTCCATCTATCCCATGATGACAGGCTGCCATATGTTGGAAGCATCGACTGGAATACTGATGCTCTGCTGCCCTTTTCCAGCTCTTGGCCCTGATCTTAATTTCTGGCGTAACCCACTTTACTTCTATGTGTGTGTGTGTAATATACAGATGAGTGTGCTTGTCTTGTTTAGAGGAAGAAACAAGCAGAAGCAGACAGGCAAATTCATCTTTAGACAAGAAATAAAAAAGTGGAGCGATTAGGAATTTTGTCTTGCAGACTTCACAGCCTGAGTTGCTTTTTAAAGCTCCTCTTGAGAGACCCCCCCCCCCCCCCCCCCCCGGTATTGTGTACATATGTCACTCTTCCCCCTCCCCTGCCTGCTTTCTGTAAGCCTCATTTAGCAGCTGTATATCCTCTTGATACCCTGAGCTCTCCTGCGTCTGCCGTCGGCTGTTCTGCCGGTGGGCCTCCACGGTGTCGGGAATAGTGATATTGATGGTTTCTGCCTCGGTGTTGCCGCTGCTGGGGATGAGCAGGGAGTAGGACGCCGTCTCTCCCAGGTCGCACGAGACGAAGCGGTTCTCCCTCCGAGAGTAGCGCAGGGATGGGGAGCGGGCGTGGGTGGAAGACTGGCTGATGTTCGAAATAATGGAGACACTGTCCATGGCTTCCTCGTTATCGCAGATTTCCAGAACCTCCAGGTGGATCTTTACATTGGTGTCCCCCACCCCAGCTCCTATTCCCATTCCCATGCCGATCTCCATACCCATTCCCACGCAGCTGGTGCTCGGATCTCCAGCTTGGCCTCCAGATGATGGGTCGTCTGCACTCGGTTCATGGCCAACAGACTTGGAGCGGTACACTTCAACCTTTGAAATCAAGAACCATATTATTAATTCAGGTTGACTCAATTCAGCGTATTTCTATAGCTCCAAATCTCAACAAGTCGCTCAAGGCACTTTACAAAGTAAACATTCCAAATGAACCAACTTAGTGCACTGTGTTCAGTTCATTAAAGTCTCATTACTCATCACACACTGGTGAGATTACATCTCCACAGTTAACCCATCCTCGTGGGGAGCTGTGAGCTGCAGCAGTGGCCGCACTCGGGAACTATTTGGTTGTTCAACCCCCAAGTCAAACCCCCTAAAGCTGAGCGTCAAGGAGGGAGGTATTGGGTCCCCTTTTTTAAGTACTTTGGTATGACCCAACTGGGATTTAAACCCTGATCTTCAGAGGTGTGGACTCGAGTCACATGACTTGGACGAGTCATTATTTTTAATGACTTCTGACTTGACTTGATATAATCTTTAAAGACTTCAATTCAATTCAATTCAAAAATACTTTATTAATCCCAGAGGGAAATTGATTGCTGTAGTAGCTCATAATAATAATAATAATAATAATCATGTTGCAGCGAAACTGAAGAAGCCTCTGACTGAAGACACTCTTCCGTTGTCGGACAGTCTTGTGAAGAGAATGCTCAGGGTTGTCCATCATTTTCTTGATTCTCTGGAAAATCCTTCTTTGCATTATCTCCTCCAGCGGTTCCAAAACTGCTGAATTTCTGGCAGAGTCCTTGAAAGGGCTTGGAGTTCCTCCATCTTGTTGGCCGGTGATCTCACATTGCCCATTATGATTGATGGAAGAGATGGTTTGAATTTCCTCTTTCTCTGTCTCCGTTTCGCTCCCGCTCTGCATCCATGCTTCTTGCGTTTTAGCTCATTTGGGATTTGTGGCTTCAGTTGAGGTATTATTTCAGCCTTTCCAATGTTAATCAGCTGCTCCCGATTGTTAACCAGCTTGTTGCCTTGGTTACACATAATAACAAATGCTCAAAAAGTGAAAAAAGCTATAAAAAATAGCAGTAAAAATCCTCCAAGCTTCACAGCACCAGAAACAGAAAAGTAAAGTGTCCAAAAATTATAGTTTTTCTTGAGAAACTAGAAGAAAAAATGCCCAAGAAAAGGCAAAACTTACATATAGTCAACAGAGCTACTCCAACATGCAGCCGCCCAGAGCAGCGTGGTTCCGGGAAAAACAGATTCAACTCGGACTTGAATGCCATTGACTTGCGACTTGAATCGACTTGCATCTGTTGACTTGATGATGACTTGAGCATATTTGATATTTTAGCACAAAAGTGGCACGACATGGACAAAAATCACAAATCATTCTTCGTTCTGGGTTTGATGTTGTACGACGAAATGCTGCAGCACTTTGTTCATAATCAGTTTCAGTTGCACTTCCTGCTTGTTTGAACAAATAAATGAAGCTTTAATTCTGGAATTTATTTATTATCATTGTCATTAAATTGAAGTTGGACAGATGACTTGATTATGACTTGAAAATTCAAAGTTAAGGACTTGGACTTCCACATCATTGACTTTGGACTCAACTTGGACTTGGTTGTCTTTGACTTGGACTTGACTCGAGACTTGACTGGAAAGACTTGTGACTTACTTGTGACTTGCAAAGCAGTGACTTGGTCACACCTCTGCTGATCTCCCACTCCCAGGGTGGACACTCTACCACTAGGCCACTGATGTCTATCCCCATACCGAGCAAGCATTTAGCAACAGTGGAGAGGAAAATTCCCCTTTGACAAGAAGAAACCTCCAACATAACCTGGTTCAGCAGCCATCTGCCATCACTGAGCTGGGGTTTGAGAAGACAGAGTAGCCCAAAATTGGCAATTCAACAAAAAATCTACTGTTTAATACTAAAACATGCACTTTGTTTAAACTGCTGGCTTCATTGTCACTTGTAAGCACTGGCGGAGTTACCATTAGGCATAGGTCGGTAGCCGCCTGGGGCCCCCTTATGTTGGGAGGCCCCCTAGCCCTGACTGCCAGCACCCCTCAGTTAATGCCACAATGGACTATTCCTTTAAGACGCCGATGCACAAACAGGAAGTGATTGGTAGTCATTTCACTCCAATCCAGTTGGTGGCAGTAATGCATCAAATTGTTGTTTGCCATGTGCCATAAGACCAGAAGAAGAAGAAGACGAAGAAGAAGACGAAGAAGAAGAAGAAGACGAAGAAGAAGAAAAAGAAGAAGAAGAAGAAGGAGGAGGAGGAGGAGGAGAGAGGCGGGAGAGTTCGTAACAAACTGGAAGCGATAGTCAAAACATTAAGCATGAACTGGAGTTATCCTAGTGGCTCCAATAAGAGAAAGCAGCATGCTTCAAAAAAGCTTTTATCTTCACTTCCGAAAAAGACGTTGTTTTTCAATGCAAACATCAAAAGGAAGCAGAAAGGAAAGTCAATGGAAAATGTTTAAAGGGAGGAAAACATACACCAAAATGGAAAAAAGAACAAAAAAAAAACAAAACAAAAGCAAAAATAAAGGAGCACTGACAGGAAGAAAAAAGGGGAGCAAATATTAAAAGCAATCAAAGAGGGAAAGACAGGAAGAAAGAGGACTAATAAAAAAGCAAAATAAGTCATGGCAGAAGAGGGGAGAGTTTCAAAAATCCAGGTAAGATTGTGTAAGAGGGCCCCATGTCTGTGTTCGCCTTGAGCCTCCAAATTGTTAAATCCGCCACTGCTTGAAACTTGCTTGGACGAAGGCGTCTGCTAAATACATAAACATAAACATATAGCTGCATCTCCAAAAGGGGAACACTCAGATCTTTCAAGTCTAACTTAGATTTCCCTTCAGTTTGTCATAATTCTGTAAAAACTGATTGAGAATGGACAAAAGTAAGATCAGAACAAAAGGACATTTATCCTTGTTAACACGAGAGTGATAAAGGAACATAAAACAGTCTAAATAGAGTGAAGGCCGTTACCTTCTTGGCGTTGTTGGGGGAGATTTTGAGACCATCGCTGCTGACCTCATAGGTGGACAGAGAGAGCGTTTTGCCTGTAGGTGCCTGCAGAGATACGGTGCCCTGAAAGGCACACAGAGGGATGGACAGACCCCCTGATGAACGCTGCAAAGGGGAAAAAAAAAAGAAAACAATTCAACATCCGGAATATAATTTTTACGACGGCCCTTGGGGCTAGGAATTTCACGGGCAGAATTCATAGCATTATTAGGACTTGATTCCATTAGCTGAGATCATTAAAGTAAACATTCATGGTGCAGTCTTGAGCTGAATTTATGCACAGATTTTCTGAAGCCTGAAGCACACCTCAGCTGACATTTAGTTACAAGTTTGCTTGCATGATGCAATGTTCTGACTTAAAACGACTTTACGTGGAAACTGGAGCATCACATCAGGTTTGCTTCTAAAGCTACAACAGTAACAAACATCCTGCTGGAAGTGAAAAATTTGTTAAATTTAAGATAAAAGTGTAACAAATCCAAACCGTGGAACAAGAAAATGAAATGTCAGGGAGTTTATGCAAACAAAAGACATTACAACACACGTCATTTGTCACCAACTTAAGCAATTGACAACTGACATCCAGAGTGGCAACTTTAGGCATTTTTAATTGAATTAGCATTAGGTTAATTGAACAGAATGACTCTTAATGACTTAATTATCAGGAAATGCTGGTATATGTCATTCATTGCGTCATGTTGTCTTTAATTTGCCAAATTTAGAGGAGACAAGCTTAAAGGCATGCTTAAATGATTGCCTCATAGGAAAAAGTAAGAAAAACACTCTCACAAAACTAAAGCTATAAGGGAGGTGCAGCCAAGTAGGTGTGTTGGCCCTGGTCAGCCTGAAGCAGACCACCTCAGAAAGAGGGCTGAACAACAGTCTTGTTACACCCTGAAAAAAGGCAGGCCACCAAGATAAGTAAGCAAGCTATGCTATCCGGGCCAACCAGGTACAGATGGGAATGGCCCATAATTAAGTTCTTTAAACTCCTCTTCAGCGCCTTGGGCTTCCTGACAGGGTTGCAGAAGGCGCTTTATAAATAAAGCTTTGATTGCTTGATGTAGCACAGAAAACAGGTCAAATCTTTTATTTTCCATGTTATTATACACGGGGGAGCATCACGGCAGAGAACCCGCTTTGCTGATGAGATCCTCCCAGTGTGCACTGGAGTGCTGTGGTTGTCGCGAGTAAACCATTCCACTGCTGTTCCGCACCGCTGATGCTTCCAGGTGCGGTGCGGCGTGCCTCTTCTGGGACACGTCTGAAAATTGCAGCACCGCGGCTGGTTTGTAACACTCCACAGACTGTGATGGATTCTATTTGAAGCTGTGCCGTTCTGCTGCCGTCCGGCACCGCTGACGCTTCCAGTGTGCAGCAGGGCTTAGATGTTTTCTCTGCTTATGTCCGGTTCAGATCAGGAGGAGTAGGACCCAATATGCAGAGCACCAGACAACATGAGGCAGGAGTAGTTGAAAAAAGGTAGAATCCTTTATTTTGGGAGTTTATCCAAAAACGACAGGCAGGAAGTCAAGCCAGGCATCCAGAAAACACGAACAAGTTCAGGAGTCATTAAACGAGGAGTCTCAGGTTTTACACGGGGAACAAAACACGCTGACGACAACAATGGACCGACAAACACTGAGGGACAAGACAGGGCTTTTAAACAGAGAGGGAGACAATCAGTGGAACAGGTGACAGGTGTGAGGAGTGAAATCTAGAGGGAAGACAGGTGGTGACGGTACAGGATCGGCTCGGGGTCCTTCGACTGCCGATGATGTCACAGTACTGCAAGTCTACTCGGCTTTCACACACACATTTTGGAAAGACATCAGCAGTTTTGTTAATAAATTCTTGTTTGTTAACACCTAAATGTTTTCTTTATAATTGTAATTTGTTAATAAAACACCATATTATCTTTGTTTTGTAAAGAATGTGAAACTGCATAAAACCAACATCGGACTGACAAAAAATAGAACAGTTCTTGTATGTGAAGCCACATCTGTTTGTATTAATGTGGAGTTTGTCTGTATATTCCCTTAGTTGTTATCTAAATACATTCTTTGATTCAAAATATTGCTTGGTGTCTTTCAATAAAGTTCTTATATTTTATTTTGCCCCATTTCATCAACATCAAGAGCTTTTGAGGGTCACCGTTTATCATTTGCTTATATTTTACATTTCCTTTAGAATTTCAAACACATTTTCTCCAAAAGGTGTTGATTTTTGGACTACAGGACTACAACCGCTAAGACTACAACTGCAAAACCCTAACCCTAACCCTAACCCTAACGTGATAACGTAACTTCCGTAAGCTTCATGTTCAGCCAATCAACTACTTTGACGTCATCTGCAGTCGAAGGACCCCGAGCTGATCCTGTACCGGCAGGTGGCATCAATAAACTAAATGGGGGAAAGAACTAAGCAGGAGGGAAGATAAACATAACCTATAAAACACCGAATAACTAAACCTAAAGACTAAGGGCAAATATTAACAACTAATAACTAGAGGGATGAGGAGGACTAATACAAAATAAAATAGGAACTACCAGAGAGTGACTAGGAGAAAACATGAGGGAAGCCTAGAGAGGGCTGGGGAACAATGAGACACAGGAGGAGAACCTGGAGTGAGAACAGGAGGGGGCTGGGGACCAGAGGGACACAGAACATGACAGCTTGATGCCAATGATCTGACCCTTCTCAAACAGACAAACATCTTTTCCACTACCATCCAATGTGTCTTTCCACACGATTGTTTAAGAAATGAGAAGCAACTCATTGCAGCAGTTGGGTTAAATAACTTGTTGCTGTCACGTTGAGAGCAGGAGGAGTAGGATCCAAAATGCAGACACCCAGAACGACATGAGGCAGGAGTGGATGTAAATGAAAACATTCCTTTATTAGGAAGGAGAACAAAAATTCCATAGGGGCAGGAAGCCAAAAAACCAATGTCCTGAAATCCTGGAGACCAAAGGCTCACTTAAAGAGCACAAAACCTAGAGACCAAGTGACGAGGAACTAAACAACGCTGACACCAAACAATGGACCGACGAAACACTAAGACACAGACAGGGTTTTATACACTGAGGAGGACGAGAGGGAGATGAGCTGCAGGTGTGGGGAGAGAACCAAGTGAAAGCAATTAACTAATCAGGGAGGAAACTAACATGACCTAAGAGTAAGACCTAAAGACCAGAAGAGCAGCAAACATAACTAAAATTCTAAGGGGGGAGCTGAAACTAAAGGAAAACACTACAGAAAGAAAAACTACAGGGACGTGACTAAAGGGGACCACGGGAGCACTGGACCTGGGAGGGGGATACCTGAGGAGGGAAACCTAGAGGGCTGAAGATCTGGGGACAAATGAGGAACACAATGAGACACAAGAGGAAGACGCAGACAAGGACACATGAGGGCGCTAGGAGACACAAAAGGAGAACCTAGACAGTAGGGATGAGCGAGTACACCTCTATCTGTATCTGTATCTGTTCAACCAACTAAATTATCTTTATTAGTATCTGTACTCGGAATGGGCGTGGCATAACCCAGAAGTAGGCGTGGTTTGACCGGAAGTGGGTGTGGTTTACATCAATATATTATTTTAAGTCTGAAATTGATATGGAATGATCAGAAGTTGATATGTGTATTGTTTATTTGAAACTATTTACAGCGCAGCCTCAGAATTGAGATTAAATATTTTTGATCACAATAGTAAAGAAACTATTACAGAACAAGTGTTTCAATAAAATCAGAACATTAATATTTAAGTGCATGGATTAATGCATCTGAACTCATGCAGTAGGAACTAGGAAATATGAAATGCTAGAACCAGACACAACTTTATGTATATTTTTTTATTTTAATTTGATTAAACAGATTTTTTTCTTAACGTTCTTGGCATTTTGCCCCACACAAAGTTAAACACAACAATGTTGATTAAGGTGTGTGTCTGAGAGAGATAGAGAGGGTGAGAGGGAGAGAGATGGAGTTAAAAAAAAATAAAAAACCTGACCGGAGCAGAGGTAGTGAGTGACTGATGCAGCACATCAGCTCTGTCTTGTCAAATGCACCATGTAAGTTACGAAAAAAGTAACTTTAAATATTCAACCGAAAAAGAGGCGAGCTGAAGAAAACCTAGGGAAAACTGAAGAAACGTGAGCAACAGTGAAGCAATCACAGCGAGATCCGTTACTGTCTGTGTGTGTGTGCGTGGATGAACCGGACGGACTGCGCTCCCGGCCAGCTAGAGAGTTTTGTGTGTAGGGAGGGGCGGGTGCTCTATGTGACTGGCCAATCACAGAGCGTGAAGACAGTCAGTTACCCAATGAGGATTTTCCTTCAGCACGATTACAGATATTTACGAGGTTTACTCGTTCCATGCTCGTATTCGTCAAAAATGCTTTATCCGTACCGGATACTCGTCTGAAACGAGTATCCAGCTCATCCCTACTAGAGAGGGATGGAGAACACAAGGAGACACATGAGGGGAGACGCAGACGCAGACTATGACAGTTGCAGCTGAAAGATAATCACATGCAGTAACTGTCCAACAGGAGGCTCCTACCTGTTTGCTCATAATCCAGGTGGAGATTTTTTGTTTGTATTGCATGGTGTGCTTTTGTTTAACAGCATCAATATCCTCCAGTATGTGTATTAGAACCAGAATGTAAAAGCCAGAAGTTTACCACAGGCGCGAGTCACCTACATAAGCGCCCTCAAAGTCTCTGGACTGCCGTAGAGGCTTTAATCATACTTTGTCGTTCATTACCAGTTAATGGAACTGAGCCATCATCATAAAACAGATGCAGTGCCTCACCAGGGTTTTTTCTGTGAGGACAAATCAAAACGCCTGCTGACATCTTAGTTCATGGAGCCTCCTTCCTGCTGTTTAAACCAAAGCTGGATCTGGATCATGGCCTCAAGTGGAAGGAGACAAACGTGTTAGTGAACATGTCTCCTCTACGAGGCATGCATCTGAACTCTGTTACTGCTGCTGGGATAAAATGTAAAAACATTTTAGCTGAAATTGGGGTTATTCATTCATTTTATTTGAAAAGTTGTGAATCAAATTTCCTTCTTTGTTTTTTTATTGATAAAACACCCAC